GAAGGTACTTGCCTTGTGAGCTTAATATCCGAAAACTTCATAAAATGTACAACGAATCAGTGGATTAGCATTTAAGACAAAAAGAATGCTTCTTTAGAAATTATGTTAATAGAAACTACAACATAGGCTTCGGAACACCTCTTACAGATATGTGTTCAGAATGTTTAAAAACGCAAGAAAAACTGAAGACTAAAGCAAACCAAAACCTTAGATATGAAATTTAGGTAGCGAATATAGTACACAGGCTAAAGACACAGGCTTTTTACTAGTATCTTAAAACAGAACACAATAACAGTGTTTCTCATTCGATTGTCAGAAAAATCTGGCTCTACCAAAACTAGCTGATCAATCGGCTAATTTTTCACAGCAATTTAATTTGTATAATTTTACAGTCGTAAAGGTTGAATCCAGAAAATGTATCTTCATATCTGCGGCCAGATTAGCAACTACCAAAAAACTCTAGTGTTAGCCTCAGCCCTCTTTAATTGTCTTTCAAAATACAATTTTTCTGAAGGTATTACCACTGTTCGTCTTTTTGCTGATGGGTGCGCTGGTCAGAACAGAAACTCAATTGTTATTGTAATGCTAATTGCGTGGCTTTACAGAGTGGCTCCAAATCACATCTCTAAAATTGAATTTATTTTCCCTATTGTCGGACATTCTTATATGCCTCCTGATCGTGTATGTGGGCTAATTGAACGAAAAATAAAAAAAATACCCTGCAATTGCAAATTCAGAAGAATATTTTAAAATAATTAAAGAATCTGCCAGTGTTCAGGTTATAGGAATAGACTGGGATGCTTTTAACTGAAAGGAAGTAACTACATGCTTAAACCTCCAACAAACTGGCATTTTCAGTTTAACTGTGCCAAAAGATTTATTTTGGAAAAGATAGAAGGAACCAATACTATTACAGTACGCAACGAAGTAAATTATAAAAGTGAGTGTGGAGGTTCAAAAGGCCTTATTAAACGTGTTAAATCATTGGTAATGTTGAATTATAATGTCAAAAAGCAGCATCCGTAGGGAATTTGTTGAGTAAGCATTAAGCTAAATGGAGAGAGTTGCCAAATTTAAATTTCTATAAAGAAGTAATTGATCAAGATCCAGTACATCCTCTTCAAATGACCCCAGAAGACGTTAATAATGCTATTTGCTGCCAAAATAATGATGGTCTTGGAACAGACATTAATTTAAGAATTTAGATGAATATATTATTCTGTTTTTTTTTTTTTTTATAAATTAGAGTTTCTCTTACGTTTTAAGGCCCTTTTGAATGATATTTTATTTTTAATAATTGTTTCTGTTACCTATATTAAAAATAAAATAATATACAAAACGTGTTATTAACAAATTGCATACATTTGAGGTGCAAAACCCGCCAAGTCATTTTTTAGATATTAGATACTAATGCACCTAACACATCTAGGTTTTTTAAAAGTACTTTATTATGCTAAGAAACTATCTTAGCATATTGTAAAAATACAAGTGACCTTACAAATACTTTAATTTACCTGGAGGTTTTTCTTGATTATCTCAAAATCGCTTAAAAGTGACTTGGCGGGATTTGCATCTATACGACTCATATAATACCGTTCCAATCATTAATATCAGATCACGTCTTATATTTTGGTCCTCTATACAATCGTGGGTGGGAGAAAAGATCGAAAATCTCCAGAACCCAAAGGTGTGCAACTTTCGGGTCATATTTTGAAAAAAAAAAATGTTTCAACCTATTTTTTCTTATAGAAGGGTGTGTATAGGGGTTGACAGGGACTGAATTTTTTTTGCCTTAGGGTCCAGTCTATTGAACCTGAAGTTTATTTTCCTAAATCTAGCGGTTCTATATATCAACCTCCTCTGGGGTGAGGGAAAAGTAAGTGGAAGGGGATGTTAAGTGCTCTGAAATCGTTTCAGATGAGGCCTACGTCCCCGCAATTAGTTTTTTATATTCCTTACCATATAGGCATGGCAGAGGAAGACGGGGGGAAGTTATAGGAGTGTGGGAAAAGTAATATTATCCATGTTGGTTCGAAATTAGGGAGTAGGGAGAAATTGTATGTGGCAATGATGAACCGGTTTTAATGAACCAGTTTTAGTGAGAAAGTATGTATGTGGCAATGATGAGCTGGTTTTTATATGATGAGGGGGGACTTTGAAGGAAACCAGTCATGAGCAGACATGCTATTAACCTTTCATAGCCTCCATATTCAGAAACTAGTTTGACGACCTCCTGGTTTAAAAAATATAAAGAGAATGTCTTGGTATAACCTTAAGACGCCTGTATAGACATTAGGAAAAAACACAAATAAGCCAGAACAAGTTTATTTATAGGAAGGGTAGTAAAAATGCAAATATTTATAAATAATCTAATTTAATTGTTACAATAAGTTTATTACAATTTTTTTGAGCGTAATTATTTAAATCAATTTTTTTAACCATTGCATGTTCATAATTACTCAAATCAGACCAGTCATATAATGCATCATCATACTGATTTTCCATAGCTCCCTAATCTTTGAGTAAAAATTTATATAAGATCTAATGCCTGTTAAATAACCACCTTTATTTATTTTTAAATAGTAGTAGCAGAATAATTTAATAAAGAATATTTATACATTTTTTCAAATAATTCTAATTTAAAACATTTTTATTTCTAATTTTTAATAGCAACGCCACTGATAATGAAATTTATATTCAGATTTCGAACACAGCGCTATTAAGAACGAGCCGAGGCGAAATTATAAAGAAACCCAAACTAGGTCATTACACTGGCCGCAGACAGATGACCCAGACGAATATGGTTAACCACATTCAGACCTCGCTCGTGAAAGGTTGTTTTTATTTATTAAAAAACATGTGATGTGATAAGTGTTGTGATATTTTGATTGTTTTTTTACTATTGGATTACTTAAAGGTAGGCTTAAAGAAAAATACATGTTAAATTTTTGTTGTTTTTATTTTTCATAAATAAATTTCATATGAGGCACATAAGTTGCCCAGTTGTATTTATCCCAAGAAGCATCCTGTAAACAAATTAGAAAAATATTTTATTATTAAACCAGAACCATTCAGTTTTTTGTTTGAAATAACTTATTTACTTTAAAAAGGAAATACAGCTAAAATATTTAGGAAATTAGAAACACATTATTTTCTGTCAATTTTAAGTGTATAGGGTGTTTTGTGTTCCAGCAATACCGCGTAATCTAGACCATGAGCCACCACAGTCGTGTTCCTTTAAAATAATTAGTTTGAACAAAAAAAAATTTAAAGTTGTTCTATTGTAGATATAAGTATTTTTGCAGACAACGTTAAATAACAAAATTTAGTAAAGTTATTTATTCACAAAAAATAGTATAAAAAATATACATACTTCTAGCTCGCCTGGCGACAATGGTATCCACCGCGCAGGAAGTTCTTCCCGATCTGTCTTTTGACAGGAAACACCCTGTAAACAGATTTAAAAAATTGAAAAATACTATTTTAAATAAAATTAAATATTTTACCACAACTATTTTTTTAGCTAATTCTGAATGTCTCAGCCTCTCTCTTAATTTAAAATTTTTTTTTTCCGATTTGGACATTCCCGCGGGGGGTGTTCGAATAATGTTTTTACTTTCAACTTCTGGCGTGTATGAAGGCCAACAATAATTGTCCCAAGAAGCATCCTGTAAACAAATTAGAAAAATATTTTATTATTAAACTAGAACCAATTAGTTTTTAGTTGAAATAATCCATTTACATTAAAAAGAAAAATACAGCTAAAATATTTAGGAAATTATAAACATACTGTATTAAAAATTTCTATTATTATCAATTTTAAGTGTATAGGGTGTTTCGTGTTTCAGCTCGTAAAACTATGCAATTTTTTCTTTAAAATAATTATTATAAATATTTTTGCAGGCAACGTTTAATAACAAAATTTAGAAAATCATTCATTGTCATTTATTCACAAAAAGAGTATAAAAAATATACATACTTCTAGCTCGCCAGGCAACAACGTTGTTATTCCAGCAGGAAGTTTTATTCTATCATCTCTTTCGCAAGAAACACCCTGTAAAGAAATTAGAAAAAATGTTTTAATATTGACAGAAAATAATGTGTTAAAATAATTTTAGCCAATATTTTAAGATTTCGCTAGAATAATTTTAGTTTATACCCGGGCTAGACCTAGTGCGAGAGTTGCCACTGCATGGGGTTCTTTTAAATAATTAGTTGATAAAACACAAATTTAGAAATGTACCAAAAAATTCATTCATTGTCATTTATTTACGAAAAATAGTATAAAAACTTTATATTTACCTGAGACTGATTGGAGAGTTTGGTATGTTGAGACATGATTCAAACTGCAACGAATAATTTTAATTGAAATTATGTCTGTATTTATGTAAAATTTATTTATGGGAAAGTAAGAAGATGGCCTTTAGCTTTTTGATATAAATGGATGTGCATATCAGCAGATGTCACTTGCATTTTAAAAATGCAAATGAAAATAAACATTATTAGTAATTTAAGAAAAATGGCAGATGGTAATTTTGTTAGTGTGTGTGCTAGTGATTTTTTAAATGAAACAAATAACGTCGAAGAAGGTGCGTGTCACTCAAAAACAGTGGCGGCTCATGGGTATGTAGAAGGGTGAGGCTACATGAGGTTAATTTTGTCTAAATACGAATAAATTTCCACGTCACCCGGGAGGTATTATTCTGCAACGCGTTGACCTTTTTTAAAATGGAGGTCATCGCCGATAGCCCTACTAAACCATTATAAAAATAAACTAAAAAAAGGTGAATTCTAAAAAAAAACACTATTCTTAACACAATTTGCGAAACACAAAAACAAATTCTTTTTTTAAAACTTAAATAAAATAAAATAAATAAAAAATGACAACAAAATCAAAAATAGCAATTCTTTTATCAAAAAAGTCTATAGGTACTAAAGTTAGCTCTGTAATTATGTTAAATTAGGTGTACCTATCCAAGTATTAAAAAAAATATAAATAACTATTTTTTGTAAATTAAATCTATGCGCCTATCTTTTAGGGTTGCAAATTTATCGATTATTTGGTCGTAAAATTGTGGGTCTGTAGTGAGATTTGACAGTAACTCTTGTTCTATTGACAGCATTGCTAACCCCGAGAGCCGCTCTTGTGTCATCGTATTTCTTAGGTAGGTTTTAATCCGTTTGAGACATGAGAAGTTTCGTTCGGCAGATACACTTGTTGCAGGGATAGTTAAAACTAAATTAAAAAGCTTATATGTTTCCGTAAAAATTGTTTTGAAGTTTTTAAATAACATATCTAAACTTTTTTCAACACTTAAATTTAAAAACTGTTCATCTCTATATAATACAGAAAGTTAATTTTTTAACCTATCTTTTTCAAAAATATTTGGATAATTTTTTAATAAACTATTTAGTAAGTTGTCTGGAAAGCATTTAACATATTCAGAATATTTTGTGCAATCGACTAAAGCAAGAAAATTTATATTTTTTAAATTTTCAAACCGCGTCGCTAATTGAAGAATTATGCAATCTATTATTTCGAAGTATAATATTTTATATTTGGTAAAAATATGGGATTCGTTAGAAGGTTGACCTCTGCGTGTATTAGTTGGCAGCTCCGTTGCATTTTTAGCAATATTAAAAAATTGTTTAAAATGTTCTTCATTTCTTAATTCGCTGATTCTTAGCTTGGCAAGGTTTATTTGTGAGGAGCAATAATTTATGTCTAAATGCTTAGATTGTAAAATTTGGAACAATAAATCGGTGCAATTAAAAACTTCTTTATAAATTTGCGTTAATAGACAAAATTCAAAATCGTTAAAATGCTTAAGAAATCTTTTCGCGGCATTAATAGATTCTGATCCGGAACTTAAGCCATTAATAATAGTTTCAAAAACTAAAATCAAATTATCCCATTCATTAACCACTAAATTTAAAATTTTTGACCGTGAATACCAGCGAGTTTCTACACCTCGCGGAATTTTTTTACCAACTATCTGATTAAGTACAAACGAGCGTTTTGGTGATTGGTGGAAATAAGTTGGTATCCCCAATAAAGTGGCAAAAAATATACGACTTTGTGTAATCTGTTTTGTTCCCTGTTGCAATACTAGATTTAATCTATGGGCACAGCAATGAGTAAATATAGCTAAAGGAGCAATAGATCTAACTTTTGTTTGAAGCCCATTTATTTCACCCGCCATAACACTGGCACCATCATAACACTGCGCTACCAATTTCTCTTTAAAGTTATAAGGCTCTAAACTACTTTTCATTAACTGAAAAAGGCTCTCTGCTGTTCTATCTTCACTGACGTCAAAAAATCCTAAAAATCTTTCTTTTAAAGACCCGTTCGTCACATACCTAACTGTTATCGAACACTGAGATTTTTCCGTTATATCTGTACTACAATCCGAATCATTAATTTCTTTTTTTATATGTTCTTGAATATATTCATGTATGCAACCAATCAGTTCATTTTGAATAGTCTTAGATTGTCCTGTAAAAATATGACTAAATTTTGCACAATGTTCGGTAAGTTCCGCATTTCTCTTTATTAAACATGCAAATATTTCTTTGAAATTTCCTCGGTTAGAAGAATCTGTTGTTTCATTGTGACCTCGGAATGCCAGCTCCTGTTTACCTAACGTAATAGTAACATCAATTAAATAACTTAATAATAAGCGATTTTTACGCACGTTTTCATTATATAAAATTTTATTAAGACCTGCATTTTCTTTCAGTGCATCCGTAATAGTCGCTCTATTTTGTTCTAATCTTGTAAGCGCTACAGAATTCTTAATATGTTCTTTGGAACCTTCATGTAATTTTACGGCCCGTGAAAATCGGTATATCCACCCCCTGAACTCCAATTGTTTTTAATGTTGCCTAATAAAATACAAGGCCAACAGTATAAGCTTTCTTTGTAAACACTTCCACATAGCCACTTATAGGTTTCGTACCAAGATATTTGAAAACATCTTGAATATTGTTTTCCCTGTCTCTTATCGTTATATATTTTTGAAATTTTTGGTGTAGGACGACTACCTAATATCTGTCTCTTTTCAGTTTCGCTTCTTCTTAAAAAGGGCGTTTCAATTATTGAGAGAATAATGTCATGCACAGGATTCATTTTAAAAAATAAAACACTAAAATTACAGGTTATAGGTAAGTACCTTAAAATATTAATGAAGAAAAACCGATATTTTGTAAACCTAACCTTAATTGCTGTATAAATTAAAAACTCACCGCCTAATAAAAAGTAATAATTCTACCTTACCAGTGTAAACCCGTGGACTGTGGACCACAAAAATAAAATAACAGCTAAAAATCTAAACTGAACCAAAACAAAAACAACCACCTACACTCATCACTGCAACCCATTTGCGAAACACAAACAAATACATTAGGATTTCGGTATTATTTCTGCTGAGCTGGAACAGACGATCAACAACAGGCATGTGACTTAAAACTACCAATGACAGCATGCCCAAGCTCAACTCCTGTCGCCTCAAGACAAAGACAGATAGACGCGTGTTTAACATTAATAGTCATATAGGCATCTCTATGGTTTCTATGATATGTTCGTCGGGTCCCGTGAGTGGAGCTTTCCTGTAAGCTAAAACTATTTCGCCTCTGTCGACTCTCAAGGTTTAGTAGGAGCGGGTTAACGCGGTTTGCGCCTGGATTTTTATTTACCTTTTGTAAAATTGTATGGCGGCTTAAACATTGTTTTTTTTTAACTCTTTTCTGGATATCTGTTGTTAAAATATACTTTTAATAGGTAATAAGATAGATACAAAAAATTGTTCTTTCATTTTGAGGGTGAGGCGCGGCCTCAGAGGCCTACCCTAAGGAGCCGCCACTGCTCAAAATGTCCAGATAATCAAAATCAATCTGAGGGTTATTTTGATAACTCAGGAATAAATCAAGCAGACGACGTCCATGATCAAAGAAGTAACATAAATGAACCCATGGATCATCACACCGACTCTGTCAGCCATTCCAGGGATGGTTTAAAATCGCAGGAAGTAAGCGAGTTATATGCCTAACACCATTACCAACTGTAGATGAAGATAAAACTCTACAAAATTACGAAAAGTTGAAAATAACTTAGTACTTGATTTAGAAAAAAAACTTAAATTTTATCAATTAAAATCAGTGCAGGTTGCTAAAAGATTAAACCGGTTAAAAACCGCTTTAAATAAAGCAAAAAAAATTAAATTATCTGGTGACTTGTGATTATTAATCAATATGTAGAAAAAGTAAAAATATGGATCACAAAAATTATTTTTTAATTTTTTTTTCTAATCTAGAGTTTTAATGATAGTGGTACTATATTTGTTTATACTCAATTATATGACATTAACATTAAATATTACTTTACATTTTATTTAATTTTTTATTTACTACAAAAAATTTTAATATTAAAATAATTGTTATTTTTTATTAATATACCGAGTCATAAAAAGCAATATTTTACGAGTTAAGCGATATAAAGTTTAATTATTTTTATTATTATACGGGTGACATAAAAAACTATTTTATAAAGTCCGATTTCATTTTACCTTAATAATTTTTTATTATTATACACAGGGCATAAAATGTATAAGGTTTGAACCCACATTTTTTTTAGATATCCGTATTTGTAGCGTGTGGAGGGTGGGTTACCCCCCCCACAGCACTTAGGCCCCATTGTGCATCCCCCTAGCCTACCAGATTTTATGTAGTTGACATCACCAAGAGGTGCTTCTCTTTAGTTTAATTATTTTTATTGTATGGGTAATATAAAAATCAATATTTTTTATTATTATACAGCGGCATAAAATGTATAAGGTTTGATTCAACATTTTTACGCAGGGTGACGTTTGCGTTCCGAGCCGTAGGCGAGGGGCGCAAGTCACCCGAGTGATTAATGGCCATAAATTGCTCATTTAATAATATACTATTTTTAAATGGTAGTTATAGTATTGGATCAACCCCGGCTTCGCCAACGCAATGGTGGTTTCTGCACAATCAGTGGAAGCTTTATCTAACTATAAAAGGCGGAATTGTCGCCGCCATATTCAGATTTGATTTAGACTTCATTCAGAACTCAATAATTCTTGTGTCAGTTAAATCTCTTTTGTACTTAGAAATATAAAATAAAGTTTTTTAAAAAGTATTTCGCACGAGTCCAACATTTATTTTGGTTTTACAAAAACAGACTATATTAAATACCTTATATGACAATCATTTTTTAAAAAAATACTGATTTTTAGATTGAAAACATTTTTCCACCTTTTTCGTGAAAATTAGTATCATAGACAGCAAAAAAAATATTTTATGCAAGCTTTGTCCCACTCTTCCCTACCCCTTTGGCAGATTTTTACGTTTCAATTAACATATAGCACTCGATTTTATACAGGGTGTCCCAAAATTCCGTGTACATAGATCTACTGTATGTTGGTGAGATCAAAATAAGTCGATTGAGCCAAAATTACCTATATCACAAAGTTGGAAGAAAATTTTATTTTTTTTTTAATAACACAAAAACGCTTCGTTCGATTTTTATAAAATTTGGTGTGTAGCTATTTTAATTGAAGAGCCATTGTTCAAAGCAAACATTGCACCAACTGAAATTATGAAAGGTCATTTGTAGCATTTTTTCTCTCTTACAAAAAACATGTATCTCTCATGGTATTTGAGTAAAAAAAAATTTATCACTTAAAATTTTCAAGAAAACTAAGTTGGCGGTTGTCAACGTTACAATAAACAATTTGATAATTTTGACAGATATGTATGTTGTAGAACTGTAAAAATTGTCGATACTACTCAGTTTATGTATGTATTGTATTTTTTCTGTTTCGATTTAAAGTTTTTGTGAAGGAGTTATTTTCTTGATAAAAAAAATTATTGCTAAAAAGGAAATAAGCTTCGAGTCAAGTTTTTAGGAGTGGATAATTCACACAATGCTTGGATAAACAAAAATAATTTACTGTGTTATTTATTTTTGTATTAAAGTAATATTTTATATACCATCTTTTATTTCAACACATTAAAAAACAGTTTGGCCGATTAATCTAAAGTATTCGATCGAAGCTTGAATTCATCCTCAGTTAATATTTTTTTAATTTTAAAACTTAACTGCTTGTTAAACTTAATCAGATTGGTGGTCATTTAGTCATTATTTAACAGTTTAGAGGTTATGATGTCTGGAGGTTATTAAAGGTAGTAAAAAATTGCAGGTGTGTTTGAAAGCTGTTTAACTTGTTTGAGTTTTAATGTTTAAACTGGTGGGGAATGGACTATAAAA